TTTCTGCCTGGCAGCTCCAGCCACTCGCACCCTCGGGCTGGCTGGGATGGAGGTGCAATGTCCTTGTCAGTGCTGCTGCTTCTCCATGCAGGTCTTTATGCCAGTAGGTACATCAGCTGTGTGTGCACATTTGACGTGCTGGGACAGTGATGTCCAAAACCTCAGTGCTAGCACAAGGAACACTGGCTGGTATATGGCAGAATCAAAGGCACTGGAGAGGAGTTCTGATTACAGGGTGTTGCAGAAGCTGGATGTACCATCTGGATAGACATGACAATGGTTTCCTTTTCCTAAGGACTTCTTGGATATGGAGGTCATTATGCACTGGTGGCTCACACAGGATGGGTGAGGGATGCACTGTGGGTCCCCACCTTGTGTCTAGAAGCCCCTCACCAGCCAACAAAGTCCCCAAGAACCATCTTCCAGCCTAAAGGATCATTAACACTGATGTGTGTGTGTGCCTTTGCAGGTAAGCTGGACATAACCCCGGACGACCCTCGGTGGATCGGTGCATGGTGGGGAGGCTTCCTGTTGTGTGGTGCCTTACTCTTCTTCTCGTCCCTGCCGATGTTCGGGTTCCCGCAGTCCTTGCCCCCACGAACGGAGCACGCCGGGGAGAGCGAGCAGGCCATGCTTCCTGAGAGGGACTACGAGAGACCCAAACCGAGCAACGGGGTCCTGCGGCATCCGCTGGACGGAGAGAGCAGCACGACCTGCTTCCAGCAGCTGCGAGGTGAGACACTGGCTCTTGTCACGTCTTCTCTGAGAGTCAGCAACAGGTTAACAGCTGGTTGGACTTATAATTGGTCTCTGATCTGGTCTATCTACCTCTATCCCCCAAAAAAATCCCCCAAAAAATTCAGTATCCTGACATTTCAGTCCCTAGCTTCTAATTATCTCTGGCATTGTCCTCATTTTAAAGAGAGACTTTGTTCCACTTGAAAGGTTTAGGGTTTTTTTAAACTACAAAGCTTCAGAAGTGCACGATGGTCCTGTAACGTTGATAAAAAAAGCCAGAGCAATTTGTGAACTTCTCTCCAGTCTACTGTCCTGCTTCCCTCTGCCTCCCAAAATGGAGAGTGAGCCAGCAAGGGCACTTAAAAGAAATTGGGAGCTCCCAGCATCCAAGCTGGAGCTTAGTGCAATCCCAGATACAAAGCAATGAGTGCTGGGCACCACCATGGCTTTTAAACTGGGATGGGAAAGAGGTGGATACCAGCCCAGAATAGCAGCAAAGTAGCAGGGCAGAGCGTGGCTTGGAGCAAATTAGAGTAGAAAACCTCACGTCATGTCCTGCAGTGATGGAAATGGACCTGGCTCTAATGAAGGTTAGCTAAGGATCCAGCATTTTGTGGGAGGGTGTGGGCAGATATCCTGTCCATAGGCTACTCTGGAAAATCCTCCATCAGAGAGGGTGTTTCTGTAGCCCGGGTGGTTGCTCCCCACTCCCTGTCACAGGGGCAGAGCCCGTGTCATTACTGCCTAATGCATTGAGATAAATGAGGACGAAATCACTTACTCCCTGTGCAGTCACCTTAATTGGGAGTTGAATGAGGCGCAGGTGGGAAGGCAAAAGAGACTTTGGGGAAAAAATGTGTTTTCTTAAATACAGAAATGCCTTGAATAGTTGATGTGTTTTTTCATTAAAGAAAGGTCAAAGATGTGAAATTTTGACTTGATGAGAAAATTCAGAAGGAGGAAAAAAGATAAATTGTTTGAAAATTTGTCAGTAAAATTAGTTTCTTCATCCTTTGATCCTTGTTGCAAGGATTTTCTGAAGTTTGAAGAATGGGTTTTTCCCATGGTACATCCACCTGGGTAATTCAGTGGCTTTTGTCATGGACTCATCAGAGTGTCTGCTTCTGGCCACTGATTTTTTGGACTAGGCACTGGAAATTTTTGCAGGTTTTCATATAGAAAAATGAAAGAAAATGGCATGGCCCTGCTGCATGGAAAGGCAGCAGTTCTGCCCAAGGATGGTGCTGGGCAAGTTGAGTTTCTTGCACACAGGGAGGCCTGGGGGATCTATTGCTTGTGGAAGTAGAGAAATTAAACGGCCACATCCATATACTTCAAAGTATTGATTACATCAGGAGGCACCACAGTCTTCCATGTTAGCCTTCTCATTGCAAGTAACCCCATTTCGGATCAGTCAGCATTCCAGGAGTCTCTTTGTAGATGGACTTTGAAGTACAATTTACATCACAGTGAATAAGACAGGGAATGACCTTTTTAGCTATGCCTTTGAGGCTGTCACAGATGACACGGTGGTGGTAGCTGGCATCTCCTTTTGAGTCCCTTGCCACTGCTGTCACAGTCGGAACATGGTCAAGAGTTGTGTTTGCTAAGGTGTCCATCTGGAGGGGACGCATACAGAAAGGGAAGGCAAATGTGCCTCACTCATTCCTGATGAGTAGTGTTTAAGGTGGTGGGTTGAATCTTGCTGTGTATATGCATTATTTTGCCAGCAGCTCAAATATAGATATTTATTCCTATGTGGCAGGACCTAGTATCCTTAATCTGTTTGCTGATCGCATAAAGTTTCCTCTGGGGAAAGTTAGACTGTTTAGCCTTTTTCCTAGGATAGAGAGGACTAGTAATTATATACAGAGGTTAAATATATACATATATATATATACACACACATATATATGCATGCATAGCCATGTGTTCTGGCTTTGAGGTTGCATGTATTTGTGAAGACATGCTGATCAGCAGCGGGTGTACCTTTATATGAGGTTGGGGGTGGAAATGCTCATCGGGGTTTGTATGACCTTGAGCCTCCTCTTTGGTTATTGAAGGGGTTTGATTATTTTTAATTTAATTTAATTTTTTTCAAGCCTTGCTGCAAGCGAGTGGACGTGGCAGGAGAGGAAGCAGGGTGCTGGCAGTTGTGGACATGCTCCCCACTTGGTCGTGGCTGTCAGCTATCAGCATGGCACGGCTGGCGTGTGGGAGGGTGCTCGAGACGCTACAAGATCTGTTGAAAAACAAGAAGATGCAGGGCTGGGTGAGATTCCTGGGCTTTTTCTAGCCTTAGCACGCAGAAAAGCTAAGACTAATATAAAAGCACCCTGCTCAAAGTGTCAAAAAGTCTTTTAAATCTCTATCAAGGTCTGAGCAGTAGGGAGGGTCCAGCCCCATGGCATCTCTTCCTATGGGGTATTCATGCTGGGAAAAGAAGCATCCTCAAGAGGAGCTTTGAACTTGAAATGAAAACCATGTCTTTGAACAGCACAAGGTGAAGAGGCAATCAAAGGCAGCAGAGGCAGCTGGTGACTGCCATGGCAGCTCTGCACAGGGGCATGGTGGCTCGGGCAAGAAAGCTTTGAGACAGTCCTGCGAAGTGCCTACCATTGCTAAACTGGCATAGGAATGCTGCACTGCTTCACCTGATTAGTATTGCAGTTAAGCGATGCAAATCTGTTTGGGAGCTCAGGGAAGTGAAGGATTAATAGCAGGGAGAGGATGGATAAATGCTGCCGCTGCTCTTTGCTCTCAGCTGGCAGCCTGGCAGGGTTGTTCCAGCCCCGTGCTCTCCATAGGGTCTGTGAAAGCTCTTCAGGCGTGGGCTGCAGCAGTCCTTGCTGTCCTGGGGGCACAGCTTTGCTTTCCTACCCCTGCTCTGCCTTGGGGACCTCTCTGCTACCTGGGGCCATAGACGATGCTCGGCTGTGTCAAGGCACCAGTGCCCTCTGCTCGTGTCTGCCCTCTTGCTCAGTGTTAACACGCTGCCTCTAACCCACCACCTGCTCCAGGACGTGCTTGGAAATATTTTGTTAAAATCTTTTTTTTTTTCCCATACAGAAATGTCACTTCTACTAAATTGAGCGGTCAGTTCTGACGAAATTTGGTTGCAAAATGCTTCCTCGGCTTTATCTTTAACACCCCTGAAACATTCTGCTCTAAATGCATTTTGTTTTGCAATGATTTAAAGCAGAAATTCATTACATTCTGCCTGTCTGTCTAGTGAGAGAGATTAAAAACCTAAAAGGACGGAAATTGATATGGAATCCTTCAGGTTTGGAGAGAGAAGCTCATTCACAAGGAATTAAAAGAAAACTCACTGTGGAATTAAATGAATTTCAAAACTGCAAATTCCCTAGATTTGGAAACATTTTGGTTTCTGTCCAGCTTCATTTCCAAGAGCATAGGAGAGCTGGGATGTACAGCTGACAGCTGTCTCGTCTTCTGTTCGGCTCTTTCCTGCTCTGTGTACCAATCTGCTGAATACCTGGAGAGGGAGCTGCTCTGAATCCTGGATTTCTCTCCCCAGAAGTGTTCTTTGGGAGCAGACACATAATGCTGGGCCAGAAGCTCCCAGCTGTGCAGGGTGGTCCCAGGCCTTGGAGGACCTGTAGTCCTTGGTGGGAGTTCATAGGATTGACCAGGATTAATGGCTAACACAGGTAGTTTTAAACTCATGGCTCTAATGAGTGATAGCATCAACCTTTTGGAGAAGGCTCCATCTATACCTTCATTCATGGCAAGATTCGTGAATCTTTGACCCAGATCCAGACAAGTACCAAGACCTTAATCTCTTTTTGGATTTAGGTCTTGGCTCCCTACAAACATCTAAAGGGCTTGCTGGGAAATCTTTGTCTTAGGTAAGAGGATGACAGATGATCATAAAAGGCCCCACATCAGGTCCTGTCAGTCTTCGAGTTTCCTTTGGCTTGGATTTCATGACGATGTGGGCTTTGCTGGTGGGTTCTTCTTGGCTTTTTCAAAGCCAGCATCCTTGTTATCAGAAGCTTTGGTTAATTCATACAGGCCTTCAGCCTGCATGCTTTGCAGCAGAAGTTGAGCATCAGCATAGGTGTCATCCTTTTCCTTCATATCCTTTATGATACTATTTTGCCTAGGCCACATGGACTTCAGCAACTAAACTCACCTGAGATACCTTCAGCACCTCATGCCTTACTCCATCTCCTCTTTCATAGGAGCTGCCTCTTTCCAGGTGCTGTTTTCTTCTTGCTGCCTGCACTATTTTCTTATTCCTTTATTCATCAAGCCAGGTGGAGATTTTGCCTTTTGTTTTCTATTCAGATCTAAGACTTGCTGCCTACATTGCTGTTAGAAAGTAGTATTTTGTCTCAGCACTGTAGTTTGCCTTTCCCTCACTGCACTGTCCTGGGTGGACTGGGCTGTAAACTTCCCTCTAATTTATTACTTTCCTTTCTGTGTTCCTCATCTTTACTGCAAATTGAAAACATGTCTCTGTAGGGTGCTCCAACTGGAAAAAGGGGCCTTGGTGATTGTAATGTTTCGAACAATTCATTTCAAGCACCAACGTGATGATTATAGTTTGTCGTTTCTGGAGAGTAGTTAAACCTCATGTAATGAGGTTGCCAATTATCCCTGGCACTCCCCGATGTTTAGTGACAAATCAAAGCTACTTGGTGCACTTAAGTGTGTTTGCTTGTCAAGCCCATGGCCTGTCACCCACAGCTGGCCCCACAGCAGGAGATAGGGATGATGCTTGACACCTTGGCATGCGTGTTGCTTGGGGTGTTAATATGTAGGAAGTCAAGGGATTATCAGGGGTGTTGGAGAGCTTTGGGACATCCTCCTGGGTCCCTTCCAGCCTATGAATGATCCTATGACCAATGCTGCACATGTATGCTCTGAAGAGTTGGGTCTGAAGTATTTCAGCAGTGAAAAGAGGCCAAGGTTGCTTGTTCTTCTCGGGTATCTTGCCATGGCAATGAGAATCACTTTTCTGCTGTCGTTTCTGTAGCATATTGGGTGCATTGGGATAAGGAAGTTAAATAAGCTGATCCTTCTGAGTGTGGGAGGATTCGTCTTTCTGTGCCATGTCTGATACAGCTCATGGGTTCTCCAAGAAGATTTCTGAGACTCTCTTGAATCCAAAAGATCTTTCCCTTTTCCTATTTGGCAAATGGATTTCAACTTCAGATTTATAGCTCCAAAGTGCTGCTACCAAGCGTCCAGCTATCATTTGGACCAACAGGGCACAGGGTGACGTTTATCATGACTTTTGCTGGGATTGGCTCCAGTGAAGAAGCACCATGCTTAGTTGTTGTGTTCCCCAGGGCTTTACTGTCCCCCATCAGACATTTTCCATTCCCTCTTCGTACCCAGCACCATATGCCAGACAGCTGAAAGCACGTCACTCCAGTCTATCGAGAGATTTTTAAACTTCACTGCTGACTTTTAATCTCGTTCCCAGAGGTATTTCACCCCAAGAACTGAGACAGATAAGGCAGCAGCAGGTGTCAAATGACTCATCTGAACGGATAGCAGGAGCAAGATGAAAGGATATTCATTTCTATGGGGAGCCTCCTGTCATTTCCTGTAGAAAATGAAAGGGAACGAGCTGGCCCTGGCTGAGATGGTGGAGGCTGCCAGGCATTGCCTGCATTGCCTCTGCACTCTTTGCACTGGGTTTTGTGTGATATCCTCCAGCAGGTACAGAGCCCTGTTGAAGTAGATAGTGATCAAATGTGCACTGGGGAACACGATCTGTCCCAAAAAACTAACATCCGGACACACAAGGAGGAGCAACGTTGACATGATGGGACTCGTAGCCTAAAACTGCCAGGCAAGGCAGCCACCAGGGCCTCCTCTCTTGTGTGAGAAGGTGCAATAACTCTGCAAAATTTTTGCAGTCCGTTCCCAGGTACGAAGGATGGATTTTGACCTTGGTAATGCAGGATGGTTGGGTACCAGCCTTGCCAGCTTCAGAAATAAATGTTCATGATCTTTAACTCCCTCCTCAAGAAAAAAAAATGAGCTGCTGTCTTTGTTATTATTTAGTGGGTAACGGCAGAGGTAGAACTTTGTGTCTTTGTGTTTGAATTGGCACGAAGCTATATCTCGAGGAATCCATTAGTCTCAAACAAACTGAATTCCAGAAGCACAACAGGCATTAATACCTTAAATACGGCTTTTCAAGCTCAGTGTTGCCAAGTCCACCTTTGCATTTTCCCTCCTTTTCCTGGCAAGAAGGGGAAATTCTGTAGGTGGCCTCCAAAGAACTGAAGGAGGCAGCAGGTGGCTTCTGCGATCTATCCACATCTGAATCCCCTCAGCCCCGTTCCTCCCTCACAGTATTTTTTTTTCCTCTTTTTTCACATTCTACTAGAAAATACTATGCCTCCTGCACCTTCATTATGTTCAGAAAATCCTCAGGAGGCAAGAATTTTTTACAGCATGAAAAAATATTTGTGATATAAAGCGACCAGAAATTCTGGAGTGGCCACTTCCAAAAAGGTTGGATCAAACCTAATTATAACCCTTTTTCCTCCCCACCCAAAGAAAAATCCAAAGGGACCCAAGCAGAGCCTTGACAAAGAGCTGTGCATTTACTTGCCGAGGCCAGTGCAATTAGATTTTGCACCCAAAAAAGGCCCTAAGGGAAAACAGAAGCCAACACCAGAGAAATCTGTCATCTGCCAAGCCCTGGTACACCATAGGGGATGTGGGGGATGGATTTTCAAAATGCAAATAGGGGTCCATGGAGGCTTCACTACACTTCAGCAAGGTAATTTTCAAACTTAATGATTTTCACATTTAATTCAGGGAGAAATTAGTCATCGGGTATTGAGACAAAGCAAGGCTCTCATCTGTACTGGGATGCTCTCCTCTTCAAGCTGTGTTATCTCGGCAATAATTAAAATGTTCGCTGAAGTAGAAAATGCGCTATCTGATTCATTAGCCAGATTTCTCTTTGTAAGGTAACTCGTGTTAGCTTATCGGAAATGGAGACGGCCTTGGAGAAGAGGACTCTGGGCACTAATGATTTGGGAGGGAGGAGCCAAGGGATCATGAAACTAAAGAAGTGTGTGTGCATCTTACACAGTGAATAGCTCAGCCTGTCCTTTTCCACCCTTGCAGCCACCAAGGCTGGTGGGGTCTGCACCGAAGGCATTGCTTGGCTGGTGAAACTCTGGTTTATGGGAAGGTGCAGGCTATGATGTCTGTCCCAGGTGGGAGGTCCCTTATGCTGGAGGGTAATGCCCTCAACAAGTGAGCTGGTGTTATGTGGGAGTAAGGAAATGAGGCAAATCTGGATGGTAGGAGAAGGAAAGGCCAAGTGTGCGAGCTGGGTTAGCTGGTGTCTGAAAGTGTGCAAGGATTTGTGTGGTGCTGAGTAGAGCACCCGTGACACCCATCGGCTGGGGCGGGGTTGTTTTTGGGGGGGGGGGG